ACTGGTGAACTAAATTCAACTAGCATAAAGTAGTTCGAAATAAATCTGTTCTTTAATACATTTTAAAGTTTTTTGTCTAGTATCTGAGTTACTGGCCAGCTTAAGGTCGGTTAGTATAGTGAAAAACTGTGACCTCGGGCTTTGAGGAAGCGGCGTGGCCTAATGGTTAGGGCGCTGGATTTGCAATCCGGAGGACCCAGGTTCAAATCCTCCTCCCTGCCACTAGCTGGATTTGTGTCTGGAAGTCCCACATTCAACTCCTCCACGCTTTGTAAATAGCCAATTGGTCAGCATCCCGCTAGTTGGGATTTTTAACGAGGTTCTGTTTAATTTACAATATTTGTTTGCTTATTTCAGTGTCCACAATTAGTATAGCAGTGCTAAATTACTTCGACACTTAAATAAAGTGATTTATTTACTTATTTTATTTAGTATTTATTGAAAATGCTGCCCTCTGTCTATTGTTTAAAAAGAATACTATACTGGTTTGGAATCGGCTTAGAATTATTGTCAGCATGCTTGGTCGCAGAGGTGTGCCAAGCTTCCAAAGAAAAATTTCCTTGTCCCAAATTCTCCTAAATTCAGACCATCTATTGAACATCAACCGAACGTGATCACAATCGGCACAGGGTATTTTATAAATTGGTGTTGTGTAGGCGAAACCGGCCGGTGTTTTCAAACTCCTAAGAAAGAACATATCAGGAATGTCAAAACATGCGCTAATGGATCAAACATTGCGAAACATGCATGGTCATTCGACCATCGTATAGATTATGACCAAGCATGCTGACGATAATNCCTTCCACAGCTGGATTTGTGTCTGGAGGTCCCAGAATCAACTCCTCCACGCTTTGTAAATAGCCAACTGGCCAACCTCCAGCCAGTTGGGATTTTTAACGAGTTTCTGTTTAATTTACAATATTTGTTTGCTTATTTCAGTGTCCACAATTAGTACAGCAGTGCTAAACCACTTGGACACTTAAATAGAGTGATTTATTTATTTATTTTATTTATTATTTATTGAAAATGCTGCCCTCTGTCTATTGTTTAAAAAGAATACTATATTGTTTTCGAATCGGCTTAGAATTATTGTCAGCATGCTTGGTCGCAGAGGTGTGCCAAGCCTCCAAAGAAAAATTTCCTTGTCCCAAATTCTCCCAAATTCTCCCAAATTCAGACCATCTATTGAACATCAACCGAATGTGATTACAATCGGCACAGGGTATTTTATAAATTGGTGTTGTGTAGGCGAAACCGGCCGGTGTTTTGAAACTCCTAAGAAAGAACATATCAGGAATGTCAAAACATGCGCTAATGGATCAAACATTGCGAAACATGCATGGTCATTCGACCATCGCATAGATTATGACCAAGCATGCTGACAATAATCCTAAGCCGATTCCAAACCAGTATAGTATTCTTTTTACACAATAGTCACCTAATTTACTTTCGCTTTTGTTCTTCTCCTTATTTTTATCTCACCTTTTCTTGCATATATTTTATCATTTTGCATTCCATTTTTTATCCGTCAAGGCTGTAGATCGACAGCCGAAAGCTCACGTTCGTTTTTGAAAATTTTTAGCCAGCGAACGTTTTTATTGTAATTTTGATTATGACTCATCCTGGCTGCGCTTCTTTAATTTTTAAATCTTGTCATATTTTGTGACCGTCACTTCTAAAGATGTATGTTGTAGCATACGAAACGTCTTGTTAATATACCATGCGTAACCTATTTGTTATGTTTGTTACCGCTGTTTGTTTTCTCTTTCTCCTGAAATTAAAATGGCCGAAAAACAAGAATTTTTATGACGTTGTGGTTAATTGACACTTGCCAAAGCAAAGTATCCGCTGACCAGTGTCACATGACCATATCGCGGACTCAAGTCTATAGCTCATTATTGGATCGGGGGCTCAAGCTAGGTTTACATGTTGTATTCAGGGCTGGGTTGTTGGGAAGGCGAAAAACGCTAACCCAGGATTGAAATTTAACTGAAGTACGAATTATGCTTTGTGTAGTTTGAGATTATTCAAATTCGAAACAGAAGACAAAGACTATAGATAGAAAACCGCACCACAACGTTACAAAACTCAATTCAAATTCGCTTGTGTTCTTTCCCCCTCTAAAGTAAAATTCTTAAGATGTAATTAATTGCAACTGGTAAAATTTTAAACAACTGTATTATTTATATTCATGCACAACACCTTCTTCATCTATGGTAGCATTCACTACAGAGCTCCCATCACTAGTGCCAACCATGTTTCTTGCAAACACTTTGAAGTAGTA